TTTAAATATATATAATTTAAGAATAACAACTCTAGTTCATTGTATAAAAGAATGGCATATATTAAGTCATACAATTAAAATTTTCCATAAATTTAATGAAAATTTAGACATAAATAGAATTAATAGATATCCATCACATCGCAGCTTCTCAGCCTTTCAGGCGTTGCTCTCGACGAAGTCTAGCCTTACATACATTATAAATCATACGTATACATCACGCTCAATCGCTTAATTAAGTATATATGATATATGCTATATGTATATATGCCATATAATGAATGTGTATATAGTCAATGGTCATTGAATATAATTACAAAGATGTCATTCAGTCCACCCACTCGCATCGACACCCACCGCATTGCCAATGCAATCTTTCAGCTGCGGCAAGCGCAATTCCTGGCAAGCGATGCATCCAAGCGCAGCTCAGTTAGAAGAGGCGCCTGCGTTTCCGCTAACCTGTCCGCCTGCAAGTCAATTGTGCAACTGCCCCAAGTGTCAAATTAGCCAAAGAGCTGGCGCAGACTCAATACAAACTTGCAACTGCCAACATGCAACTGGCGACTGCCAATTGGCAATTGGCAATGGGCAAATGGCAAATGAAATGCTCACTGCCAGCTTGTTCCAACTCGCACACTAGCTGCCGGCCAGCTCGGAGCGGGCGTCTAATTTTCCACGAATCGAATTCAGGTAAGGGGTGGCCGTTTTCAATACCAACCAGTCAAGATGTAAACGGGTATAATAGGCTTGGCTATAAAGATGTCAAAGCTAGCCAAAGAGATCTTTGATATTTATTGAGTATATTCCCTTAAATATATTAAAATATCAATGTATATACTATGATATTCAAATTGTAGCTTTAGTCTAACAGTAAGCTCACAGCATAATTTAGGATATCTTCAAGTCGAGCATGCCCGACTGGAGCACTTCTACTTGCATTTGCATTTGCATGTGGGTGGTCAGCAAATTGCCAGAACGTGAGCACAATTTTAAAATTAACGGCAAGTGGTTAGAACAGCAGCAGCAATGGGTAGACAGATAGACGGACGGACGGAGGGACGGACAAACGGACGGACAGACAAGCAGCGCATTCCAGCCACAAAACTGTTGCAATTAATTGCATAAAAGTTTTAAAACCGTCAGCATTTCCCAACTCCTCTAGCACCCAATAGAACAATGGCGTCTTGTGCAAACTATGCAACAACAACAACAAACAGTAACAACAACAAGAACGTGGCCATAATCGGAGCCACATCGTCGTCATGGTCGTGCCTTTCAGTTTGAAACGTGATCGATAGACTCTGACTACTACTAGCCTGAGTTCATGCAACAACAACAACAACAACACAAACAACAACAACTACAAATTGGACTCTTTTAGCCGTAGACGTAACCAAATGTTTTGGCCTCAGTCAAATTATGTTCTTTGCCTCGTTTGATAATGAAACTGCAAATTGAAGTTGCTATTGTTGTTGTTATTGTTGTTGCTGCTGTTATTGTTGTTGTTGCTGCATCTCAAACTGTTTGCTCACACCGTCTGAGGCAGCGATCTTGAGCATCAGAGTGCAACGCTAATGATTACGTGTTATCGTGTTGTAATTTTGCATAAACCTCTAATGACTGCTGGCCCCGCTGGACTGCAAGCAGATCCAAGAAACCATCCATCCTCCCATCTATCCACCCATGCAGCCATCCATCTACAGATCGATTCAATGCTTCGGGTTATATGGTTTAGATCATGGCAGCGGACACTAACTAGGCTCATCATGGAGCGTTAACAAGCTCATTTTTTTTAAACCTGACGTGCTGAGTGCCCAGGCGGACAGCGGAATCAGCGAGCCAAGTTAGAAGTTGGCCAATTTCGTAGCACTTATCCCGATCATAAATCGTTAATCGTTAATAATGGCATTTATTGTGCTATGCACCAAACACTCAAGCTACCCATTTAAAAAAAAAGCCACATATTATATAACAAAAGTGAGCAATATTTTAATTTAAAACTAATTTTAATTTATACAATTATCTTTATATTTTAATAAATTTATTAAACAAATGAAAAATTCTTTGAAGTTGTTGAAAATAATCGACGGATATCATAATCTTCGAGTGAAGGAACCGACAATTGTTTCTAAGTATATTTTCGATTTCCCGAATTTTCTTCTCTTATTCTCCCCCTCTCCCTCTTGCTCCATCTCTGTCTAGCTCTCCTTCTCACTGTATTTCTGTCCTTTGCCTCTTAATGTCTCTCTCTGTTTCTACCACTTTATCTCGCTCCCTCTAGCTTTTTGTATATCTCTGTATTTTCTCTCGCTCTCTCACTCTCTCTCTCTCTCTAGCTCTCTCGTTGTAACTGACTGCTCTCTCTAACTCTGCCCTTTTTCCTTTTCCTATTTCACACTCTTATATTTAACCCCGCCCACGCTCTGTTCTAACCTTAATTATTACTAATTTATTTGAATACAAGGAGGGTTTCCTATAAAAAACATGTTTTCCCTTCATCGACTTTTATAATAACAACACCCTCGCTTTCATTCTCCTTTTTTTTCCCTGAGTCGAAGAACAATTAATTCAAGATAAATACTTGTACCTTTACAGAAACTTGATACACCAGAATATAGACCAAGGCAACACAGTTTTCGTTTACTATTTCTACGATCGTAATCAACCCATTGCCATAATGTGCAACAAATGATCGCAGTGACAATATCAAGCGATATCATGGAATCTCTCGTCTGTTAGCCAATCAACACCTACAACCAAATCGATATCGCCCAACTCGATGCATGATAAAGTATTTCGCCAGATTGTTCAAACGAGCTCGAACACGGTTATCCACAATGATTGAACTAAATTTTCATTAACCGGTGCCCGTAGACAAAACGTTTTCCTGCTAAAAACCTACTCCAAACGAACTCGAAAGCATATTAAATTGAATTTTTATGTTCTCACAAAACATGAAAATTCATGATGCCGGGCACTGGGAACAGATCGGACCATAAAGCTGAAGCACTGGCCATGGCCCCATCCATTGCTGCTGATGGTGGTGCTGGTGGTGCCCGTGGTGCTCGTGGTGCTGCAGAGTGTGTGGGTTAATAAATGGGCCCCCAATTGGTCAATGGTCGGAGACGAGAAGCGTTGCTAAATTATGGTTATTTAAATAAACAGCACACGATTTGATTTGGCGGAGCAAAAGTGTTGCCGTGGCCGCGAAATGCGAGCGCCTCTCAAATTGGACAAGGGATCAAGCAACTGTGGACGAGCCGGAGAAGTCTGGAAATTATGTTGTAGCTGCACTGATCGTGCCCTCGCTCGCTCGCTCACTCGCACTGGCGATAGATTCGTCTTGGGGGTTGTGCCATCAGGCCATGATTGAGTAACGCCCATGACTGGCACTGGGCCATCTAATTATGAGTCCAGCTGGTGAACGTTGATTGCAGCAGCAGCAGCAGCACAAGAGGCAGGGACTCGACTCTGAGCATCATTAGCTGATGAGCAGCGTAGCCTCCTGATGGCCTCTCTGATAAGCAAACATATAAAATGCAATGTGCGTTTGCCATACGGCGTGACCTTTGCCCCCCGCCAACTTTCGGGCCCCCAGATCGGGCGTTGCGGCGTTTTGTTTATTTTGAAGCTATAATTTAAGCGAGTAATTGCACGCTGGCGGCCAGAATTTGTAACTAAACTGCAAATTAGCAGCCAATTCTCCAGCCGATTAATAACCATAATTATTGGCTCAAACGCTGACGAGCGAACGTCGCAGCCAGAAAGAAGACGAAGCTGCTGCTGCTACGGATGCCCCGGTGAGGATCTTGATGAGGAGGTTCTCGGCTCAGCCTCGTCGACTCTCTGCAAATTGCTCCAACTCTCCGACTGAGCTGCTCAATTGCCAATTCGTGATACAGATACGGAGGGAGAGACGCGACGCGACGGGACTCGTATGAAGAACGAGCAGAAGGCTCGGCCCAACCCGACGCGATGCGGCGCTGCAGCAATTTAAATTGTGAGCGCGTCTGGCTTAATTACATAAAACTTGGATATATCCAATGCACCAGCAACGATTCTGGATATAGCCGAGGGCGCACTTGTCCGATTCCAAGTCTGCTTGATAGGCATGTGTCTAATGAAGGGTCCTAATTAATGTGCGTTGTCTTCGTTTCTTTTGGGGCAGTCGAAAAACTGAAACTGCCAAACGTGTTGAAATGCAATGAGTGCAAAGGACTTTGGCTTGGCAGACAACGATACCAGCTCCGTTTAAGCCCATGACAAATTAATAAACGTCGATGCCCCATTATATTGTCTCCCTTAATGCATGCAATAAATTGCATCTTCATGTTGGCTGAACAAATATAGATATCGCATTGCCAGAGCAAACCAATTATATTATTAATAACACGGAAGACAGAGAAAAGAAAAATCACTGAAGAGACTAATAATAAAAGCTATTGGAGCGAATTTACAAAGAGTTAACTTCGAGAGTCTTCGAGTGGAATATATTTCAACTTAGGAGCTAATAATAGTGTCTTGAGCTGTATTACTATCCATACAATAGAAAATATTTGTGATATTCATACATTTATCTGTTGGCTAGCAGCCATTCGCATTTGGAATATTCTTCCTAACAGGTTTAAAAATTCAGAACAGTGGTCGTAACCGCCAAACTAATACATCGATAATTTATCGATTTTAACAGGAGTTTAACATTGCGTTAGCAGCTTAGTTTTGTTGCCGTATGGCGGATTATTTGCTTTGCCTATATTAATTTAAGCAATGCCCTAAGAAAATAAAATTCTGACTACCATTTAAATTTTATTTTATATTAAAAACATTTATGTATATAAATAAAATTCAATTAGATAACAGCTGCCAGTACAATATGTTTGTGTTATGTTTGCCGTTGTAAAACAGCTACAATAAAAATGTTAAGCGATGCCAGAACTGTACACGCCTTTTGAAATTAGTTTAGAAATTATTACAGTACAACGGAAATTAAAAGTTTACAGTTATATGAAAAAGGCACAGTGTTTTGTTTAGTTTTGAGAATTAACATTGAATGTTAGAAGTGGACAACTACAAACAAAGAACTAAACGGCAATAGGCACTTTGACTTTACACGTTTTGGTGTAGATTTTGTGTGCTGGAAAAGCTGAGCTGGGCAATTGAATGCTACAGCTTATTCCACTAGACACTCTTCTTCATGGTCATCTCGTGGGCGGTGCGCAGGCGTCGTCGCAGTTCGTTAGGGAACCGTTCGTAGCATTTCTTGCACACTGGCTTTTCATCGTACTCGTAGAATTTCGATTTTTGCGTCATTTTCGTATCGCACACGGAGCAGGCAAAGTGATGAACGCACCATGCCTTGTTCAATGCGGTGAAAACTGAAATGAAAATGAAATAAAATGTATTCAAAGTAAATATATAAAACAATAAGCTCTAACTAACCATCTCCAGCAATGACTTGATTGCAGACAAAGCACAAATTGCCAAAGAGTTGATGATAGTGCGTCTCGCAGTATGCCAGTCCGCGCTTCTCGTAGTGGCGATGACCCAGGAAGGGTTTCTCGCACTTGGCACAGACGAAATGCTCAACGTGCCAGTGTTTGCCCAGCGCTGTGACCACACGCTCCTCTATGGGTCGGCGACAGGCGCCACAAATGGGAATACCCATCTTGTCGTGACAGCGAAGACAATACAGCTCGTTCTAAATAAAAAATTAAACAGTTGTTAAATATACAATAGTCATATGCAGAGCTTAAGTTATATCCACCATATCGTTCGCGACCAGGCCAGGCCGACTCTTGACTTCGCGCGCTGTGGCATCCAATTCTGTGCCACAGGCCGAGCAGTTGAAGTGATAGCCATGATACACTTCGCCACGGAATCGCAACGGTTCCTCGTCAATCAGGCCACTATAAAGATCTGGGTTAGTTTATCATTTCGAGTATTTGAGACCACGCCCACTTACTGACACTTCTGGCACACATAGCGACCCGTTATCTCTGCCTTCACCTTGGCATTGCATTCATGGCAAAGTGCACGATTTTGGTTGCGAATGAAGCCACTGTCGGCCAGCTCTTTGGCGCACAACTGACACCGGAAGCACTGCGGATGCCAACTGGCGGACATGGCTTTAATGACACGTCCAATTACGAACTCGCCGCACTTGTTGCAACATGGTGCGAATAGCACATGGAAGTCCCGTTCACAGTACTTGCGTCCCTCGAACTCGTAAAAAATGCCATCCTGAAACGGTCGGAAGCACTGAGCGCAGCTTTAAGAGGAAATATAGAAAATAACAATACAATTATCAATCAAATATATCAAGTGTGCACTTACACAAAGCATTGCGTGTGCCAGAGCTCGCCGTTGGAATTGACAATCTTCTCGGTGGGCTCGAATCCGTCAGAGCATCTCGTGCAATGCATTGCACCCAGCGACATATTGATGGCCTGAACTCTGCAAGGGAAGAAGGATAAACCATTTAGGATTAGTATAGGTCACATTTTGAAATACACATGATTAGCAATCAGTTACACTTCAGCTTTGGAGTACATCATGATGAAGGCTTTAGCTCACAACTATGTGGGGTAGCGCATGGAAATGACAACTGGAAAACGGAGACGTTTTGGGGAACGCAAAGTTTGCGTGGCTGGCTTATCAAGCAAGCGAACCAGCATTGTTGACGCGAATGAATCATATTTCTGACGAATGTTAAAAAGCTTTGCATTCCTTGTGGATTGATTTGGGCAATGTAGTCATAAGTAGCTTCGACTTCGGTGCACTACGAGTGTCGACAGTTGCAAAGCAATCGTTGAACAAAGCAGATGGGCGGAGGGTCAGCTAAAGTAGGAGTTCGATTTGCAATCGAAAAGTGTGCACCATTTGAATTGAGCGCCACTGAGAGAGACGCCAAATCACACACACACACACAATCGTACAGCTACATATACACACATACGCCACTAGGTAAACAACGCAACTGTGCGGCAGCGGCGGCTATAAATAAATTTGAATGTTGCCATGACGTCATCGATGGAGTAAACATCTGGCGCTTTAACACCAAGAAAGTGCAACTTATGCGGGCAGCAAATACCCAGCACATGTCTAACTGATACCAAAAAGTCGTAATGGTCTGCATAATTGTATTTGGAGTGAGTTTTAAGTGATGATTGTGCTTTTTCTAATCAATTAAATTTTGCAGCACCTTGACCAAAAATTAATGAATGAAGCAAAGCGGAATTTGGGTCACTTTTAGCGTTATGATGATAATGACGATGATGTAATATCGTTAATATTCAATTTGGAATGTTCTGCTTGTTTCGCTTACTGAACGGGCGGCATTTCTGGTAATTGGCTTTCACTTGTTGCACTTGTTGCAGCTCGCCTCAGTCAATTTCTACGTACACGCTCGACGTTTTAAGCTTCACTGAAAACGGCAAACAAAATATAAAAGTATCTTTTCTATAAATCAGTGTTGGTTGTTCAGCTATTTTATGGCCGAGTCCGGTTTCTTAACTATATATGAATTTCTCTCAATTTAGCTAAAATGGCCAACACTGCTCATATTTGTGTTTGTGGCCACCAACARCAACAAGAACAACAACAGAGGTCTTGCCAAATTGGGCGTACATCTGAAACTCTTATCTTATTATTTACGCAATTGATTCGTGGGCACTTTGGATGTCTATATCCAGTGATTAACTCTATTTACCTATAAGAACACTGACACAAATTATTTAAAGCAATATTAGCTTTTTCATTAAAATTCTCACTCAATTAAAATTGTTCGTTTGGTATATGTTCAATCGAACTATTCATTGAGCGAACCAAGGTAATTTCTGTTGCTCGACTAGTTCGAAATGAATGAACATTTTCTGTTATTCATGACGACTGTTAACTTAACATTTTGTTACTGATCTCTTAACAGAGCTGACTACTTTCTAAAATAAAACACCGTTCTTAACTAAATAAATATTTATAAAACTATCCGAAATATCTATAAATTTATGTATTCGTATTGTTGATAGGTATAAATGAGCCCAATGCATTGAAATGGCTTTAGATAATTTGTATATTATGTTTGATCTACTGGGGAAGATAAAAGGAATATAAAACTGATAGTTAATAAGTAATTAAATTTCATATTGAGAATGCTGTAAATTAAAAGATATTCTAGCTCGACGAACATACTATAGTTTTCAGTTTTTTTCACATTTAATTGCGCTCTGCATAGCAGATAAATAACACTTTTCAGTACATCATGTTTGTTTTTAATGTATTTTAATGTATTACGCATGTGTTGGTGTATGTATCGCACTTATAACTGTATCCGAATTTTATCTAATATCCAAACTAGCATTTGTGGATCCTTATATGATTTTGGAGAGTACTCTTTTGCCGGAACTGTTTGGGGCAGTAGGAACAGTTGTACGGTTTCTCTCCAGTATGGATCTTCATGTGATTGTTGAGCGTGGCCACTTGCCGGAAACTTGCATCACAGATCTTGCATTTGTATGGTTTCTCGCCCGTGTGCGTCTTAATGTGGTTTACCAGGGTACTCTGCTGGGAGAAGAAGCGCCGGCAGACGCTACAGCCAAATGGGCGATCGGGATTGTCGCTTCTTAACATATTAATGGTGCCCACGTTTAAGCGAGGGGTCTGTTCGGTCTGGTTAGGTTCAGTTTTTGGATTTATTGGCGCTGTCCCCGTATTGCCCGCCGTAGCAGCGGACGCCGCAGCTGCCGCTGCATTACTCGCAACCAAAGAGCTTACTGTTGTGCTGCCTTCAAGGAAATGCAGCAGTGGATGATGGTCCAGCTGCAGAAAGTTGGGCGTTGTGCTGTGCAGGTTGTTTTGCAGCAAGCCATTTGTCAGCTGTTGTGCACCGTGTCCAAGATGCGCTGGCATTGCTGTGTGCTCCAGTCTGGCTGGCTGACTGACGAGATTCGTGTGCGTCCTTATGTGGTTGATGAGCGTGCCCTGCTGCCTGAACTGCATGTGGCAGTAGGTGCACGTGTACGGCTTATCGCCGGTATGTATTTTTTTGTAATTGGCCAGCTTCGTTAGCTGGCTTAAACACGCCTGATATAAATATATTTCAATATACTATTTATTTAACACCCTAGTTTCTCAAGTCGAAGTTAGCAGAGCAGAAGCTATAATCGAATAACATATCGATAAGTCACTACATTAACTAGGCTGTGAATATTGTGGATCTTAAATTGGACAAATTATTTCGATACTCCATATATCCAAAAATGTCTAAAAATATATTTAAAAACTGTTTTAATAGTGAAATATTCTATCAAACAAACAATTTTTTACATTTTTGATGTACTAAATAAATAAAGTTGAGTTGCCCACCAATAAACCAGTATAATCGACCAAGTAGTTGCTAAGTTTGAGTTAAGTTGGCAGTCCAGTGTATGAGGAAATTTATTTAAGGAACCGATAACAAATATCGTGCTTGAATTTACGCGCCCAATCTTACATTTATTTCAATTTGTAGATCAAAATGTTATTTACAAGTAACTTGCTGTAATAACGTATCATATATATTTAATAACCTTATTTCTATTGATGATAATAATAAATAAATAAATTATTTTTGTACTCTGATGATTTAATATGCTCAAACATTTTTAAGTATAGTTGATAAGAGGAAATTTTATTCAGTCAGTACAATTCAATATTCGCAATATTCTATTCTGAATACTAATTTAAATGATGCCTGATCTGTGAATTACACTTCCGCCTTACAGTGTGAGGTTTGCAATTTCTGATATTCAGTTTCCGCATTGCAATTATTATTGCATTTTATACAAACAAGCTTAACTACAATCAAACGTCTGTTCGTACATGTGTATGTAAATATGTAATTGTAATGAAACCTTGTAGTTTTATGAAGCTTCTTATCATTTTATAACAGTACCTTTATCCTACTATCAACCCATTAACAACCAGGCGCGATTCGATCAACGACTTTTGTTTGTCACTACATAATGAAAGCAAACAAAGCGTCGTCGAGGCCATCTGAAAAAAATAAAATAAAAATACAAAGCAAAAACAAAAAAACAAAAAACAACACCGAAAGGTGGCGCCTTACAATGTTGCCTGTGTTCTACCAGACAAATGGCACGTAGCAACAGTTGGGACGCTATAATTAAATTACAAATGATTCTCTTATGCTCATGTGGGCTAGACTGTTCTGGGAACGACATGTAATAGAGCTAGAGCTTAATATGGCTAAACTTTGACAATCGATCCGCTGTAACAGAGCCCACAGATTGTCTCAAATAGTCGGCTGCAAGCGGATACAGTGGGTGTCTAAATATAACTTCAATTATGCTATTTATTATTGCAGCTGGCGCAAAAACCGGCAAACCAGACAAACAACAACAGCTCGCCCCTTGTTTGCGAGTTTGTGCATATGCATTAACATACCGACACATGCACAGTATTTGTATGCGCGTGTGTGTCTATATACTGCAACTCGTAAAACCAGTTGCTTCCAAACTGTTATGCAGCAATTGACCAGTCGCTCGTAAACTGCCACGCAGCCATTAATCTTTAAAGTTTTCACAGAAAAATTCCAAAAATGTGCATTGACGAATACCTAAGCAAAGCATAATCGTACAAATGTTTTACTTTTTCTGCTTATCGGTATCGTATATATTTTTTGTTTATAACACACATATATACATACATACATATGTACGAACTTTTATTTTGCTGCGTTTGGATTTTTCAGGTTTCTTATCATGGAATGCCGAAAATATTGAATTTTACTTTAAAGGTAATTTATTGCAAGGCACGTGAATCGCATTGTATTATTCTGATCTTATTTAACTGCAATTCATATAATACATATACATATGTATATATGTACATACATATATTGTTACGTTTCCCACCATGGGATCTATGTAACTACATAATTTTTGATAGCATTTATCTAATCTTCACAGCAATCAAAGATTATATGAATGACTAGCGGCCAAAGTCTGGTTGAATAAATATAAATTGAGTTTGAGCTGTGTGGGTGCAAAAGTGAGAGTTAGCTCCCCGCGAAGAGATATACAACTAGCTTGCCAAACCGTCGGACGCCGGACGCGGGACGCCGAAGCTGAAACTAATGAAAACAACTTTGACGTTGGCGGTGGCAACGGTCGACCTACGCGTGCAACCTTAGTGGGGGTAACAGGGGCTCCAAAATGGAGCGCAGTGTTTGCCTGGCGAAACCAATTATTATGCACACACATACACACACACACACACACGCACTTGCAATTTGCAACGATACAATGTTGAGTAAGGTTGACGGCGAGCTGTTTTACACAGCCAACGTTGCGGTCTATGACAAAGCCAAAGGCGAATATCAATTCGCCTGGCAACAGCGAATCAACAAAGGCGAATTATATTTATGCATTGGTGTGACGACGGCAAATATATGCACACTACACTACTACCAATGACCTGTTGGGTGCGACAGTCACACCAAAAGTTTGCCAGCCTCCTCAACGGCAACCGGGCAAACTTACCGGACCAACCCTGCTCTGATAGTTATATACGTATGTATGTGTGAACTTGCCTATTTGCGCTTAAGGCACTTGAGGAAAAATAGAAATAGCGAATTAGCAAAACAACAGATAAGATGTAGCAAAACAAAAAGCGCAATACTAACACACACACAAATGCCTGTGCGTACATACGCAATGATACTTCTACTGTAGAAGTTCAACACATCCATGGCAACATCTGTTCTCACAAACTCGTATGCATCAATGTGTTTGTATATGTATATTTAAAAATAAAACTATTTAACCTTAGCGATGTCGTTGCCATAGTGACGTTCATTCTACGTGGACAGTAAAAAAAAAAAAAAAAAAAATCAAACATTTTGCAATGCACTTTTAATGCCTAACGACAAAAAGAAACTAAAACAAAAAGAGCAATTATCTGAATGATGGTGAATAGCAAACACACTTACTAATGTTTAGTTAAAAGCTTCATTAGCGAATCATCATACATATATTTATGATCTACATTAGCGATGCATCATATAGAGCTCTGATACACTTAAGATCACCATTAGCAATGCATTATGAAAAGAATGTGTTCCAGGCAAAGAAAAATAATGTGTTCAGCTGATTCAACTTAAATTGTCTGCCAGATGAAGAACATAACTTTTAAGAGTGGTATGGGTGCCGAGAAATTTGCCTAATATCTAGCAGTTGTTTTTGTACTGAATACTGAGTGCAGCTAAAACCCAACGGACAGCAAACCACAACCACGACAACAGCAACAACAACTCTGCGGCTCATTATATAATATTTAATTGCTACGATCGAGCAAAAAAAAAACTAACAACTGACTTAAACAAGATGCGAACAGTTCATAGCTGTTCCCGTAGAACATTTCCTGGAAGAAGCTGATAGAAATAATCTCAGGTTTATAGTTTATGTTGAATCCATATCACGCGATTCAATTACAAACAATTTGTATGTATTTATGATTAGGATAGTTTCTCGAGCTAGCTGATTGGCAAGTTTGAAGGTGAATCGTAGGGCAGGTTCTAAAAGCCAGTATTACAATTTTGTATGACATACATATACAAATATACAATCATGATCAGCTAGAGTTGATAATCAAAGGCATTTKGGTATAAATAAATAAACAATTTGTGTTCTGTTAAACAATTTCGTTTAATTTGACATATTTTCCTTATTTTTTATATGCATACACATATATAATATAGATACTATATGTGTTTCAATTTGATTAAGATGCAAAACTTAGCACATTTCGTGGAACCAATAAATAACAAAGCGCGACAATACAAATATATCGAATAAAATAGAGTAGAATGAAGAATATTTTACATTTGTTAATGCAGCTCCTTATTTATTCTCTCTCCCTGGCTATATACAAAATAATATTACTAGACAAATATGTATGTACAATTCGTAAAACTATTCAAGTCTTTCATACAAATTTGGTTAGGCTAATAGCTTGGTGCTACTTTAGATCTACTTAGATCCTTAGGTAGTTCAAATTACGAATTATGAGCTCGTTATTATTCTCGATAAGCAAAAGGCAACTTTTATTTCGCTCCAAATCTAAACTGTAGCCAATTGGATCGATGCATTTTTGTATATATTATATTCAAGTGTGTATATTTGTGTATTTCCTACGAAGGCACATAAACAAAGAGGAAAATAAACAACAAGCGGAGCGTACGCCCCAATCGAATAACATATATGTATAAAAGAGTTTGGATGATCGGTTCGTATATTATGAATCGTTGCACTGAAAACGTGAAACGTGATGAGCTCCCTACTTGATTACTATACAAAACTGAAGCCCATTTAACTAGCCTATAAGTAAGAATTTCTTTTCTTCTTCTTTTTATGTTATATGTATGCAATGGAGACATGAAGATAATAATATCATAATAGCCTATTCAGTGTAAACAATTTAAAGAGCGCACAAAGTACAAATTATCTTGAGCCTATCATTGAAACTTAACTAGTCTGAGCTACTATTGAAACGACCCTCGTTCAAGCTATCTCACTCTATTTTTCTGTCTCCTTTGATCTCTTCAATTGCTCATCTGAAGGCCGCCGCTGCTGCGACTGCCCGTTGACGAGGAGGCGCTCAGTCCGAATTGCGAGACGAGCTTATCGTAATCCTCTAGCGATGTCTCAAACTGCTCCAGCTGGCGCGACAAGTCATCCATGCTGCCATCGGTTGCATTGCTGGATAGAGCAGCAGAAGCTGCCGCTGTGGCGCTACAACTTGTTGCAGGCGCCTGCAGTTCGTTCAGCCCGAGCAATGGCGGCGCATAATAGCATTCCCGATAGAACTTCGCCAGATCATTCACCTGCGATGTGGGCGAGGCGAACGGAAAATGCAGCTCCTTCAGCAGACTGTCGTCGTCTGGTGGCTGTTGCAGCTGCGATGAGGACGCGGATGCCTGTTCCTGCAACATTGACGCTGACTTGTAGCGCAATGTGGCACTGCTCGCGGGGATAAGTAGACTCTTAATGGGCGATGCTGCACTAGGTGCTGCTGCGGCTGTTGTTGATTTCTCAAAGCTCTTAAATGCTGTYGAGTTGTTGTTGTTGTGGTTTTGATTGATGTTGTTGCAGCTGCTGCCATTAATGCTGTAGTTGTTGTTGTTATTGTTGTTGTTGAGAACTGGCGATTCACATTTGCGATTCAGAGATTCTATGGAGCCGCTGCCATTGCTCTCATGCCGCGTGCGCAGCATCCACTCAAATGGTGGCGTTTCCGGCAGTACGAAATCAGTCTCAGTAAATTGACGCAGCTTGCCCAGATCTGTAAATGCACCTGGACGCAACGGTTTCTCAATGTCTATGAAACGTTTATCGGACGCCGCTCCAGTGCCAGCTGCACCACCTGCACCGCCCGCCGCAGGCTTCACCGTCGACATCTGCTGGATGGGAGAGCTGGCATCGCTGGCAGGTCGAAAGTGATCCGACTTCAGCATGATGGCATTGTGTTGTTGCGCCTGATGTGCCGTAGCTGCCGCCTGGTGTCCGGCCGTGGGCGAAATGGTGAGTTTTGTGCGATAAGCCACCGACATGATTACCGATCCCAGAATCGTATTTAGCTGACCAATTTTCACTTGCTTGTGTCGCTCGCCCAGCGTGTGCACCTGCGGCCGATCCACATAGACACGATAGTAGATGCCATATGAGTCCGGGCACTGGCGACGCGACAGCTTATAGGCGGGTGTCGTGCGTGTGAGCGAGATAAGCGACTTTAGCATAATGCTCATCCGATTGTAGATGACGTGCAGCTGATGGGAGGAAGCCTTCAATGTTTGACTGTCATTGAAGGCATTTATGTTGCCGCCCTCGCCCTTGCAATCCTCTCCAGCAGTCGCTTTATTACTGTCCACTGGCAGCAGATCCAACGACCACACCTCCAGTATCATTTTGTCCCCCTCGGTTGTCCTTAGCGAAATCTCAACGCATAACGGTAGACGTTGGAGGATGCTTTCGCCTTGCTTGAGGGCCAGCGCACGTTTCGTCTCGTCCAGCACATCGGGATGATCCTGCACAACAATATTGAACCAATCATTGCCACCCAGCGGATTGCATTGCGTTTGTATCTTCTCGCCCAGGCGAGATTGCACCACAACTTGAGCTGTCTTGAACGCCAGGAATTTTATGTATTTTTCTAGTTCTTTTTCGGCTGCGTTTAAACGTTGCGCAGACATTTTTGTGTTTATTTCTTATATTTTAGATAGTTGAGTTTGTTTTCCGTTTGATGTACTTGCAACAGCGTACAAAGTTCGTTTTTTGTTTTGCTTCTTACACTGCTTCCGCGTATTGTCTGTCTATGCCAATTCGCAGTATTCTCTGGAATTTTTCTTTTTTGTTTTTGTTTGTGCACTTTATGCTTTGACACTTCGATTAACGATTAACACATGCTTAGACATTTTAAAAGCACTACAAATTATTTGCTTGAAGTGTTTATTATTTGTTAAAACATTTACTTCATTGAATTCTTTAATATAAGAGAAAAACAAAGATCACTCCCACTTTTTTCGTTACTGTCCGCCATTGAACTAAAGCAAAAGCGAATGCGACGTGCTGGTGCTGCCATACTCAATGTTGTGTGGGCTTGACGCAGAGTTGCCAGGCTCTCAAAATAGGCGATTACATGAAAACCAAAACAGTGATTTGTGAATACTCACATTCACAGTGAAAAAAAAAGTATAACAATAATTGATACTCAAGTTCATTTTTGAATAGAATACTAGTTGAGTACTCCCAATACATAAACAGTTTTTGTTAATGGCTTAATATCTTAATAAAATGGTTACATTATTCTATGTGTATTTTTAATTTAGTTAATAAAAATCTCCAAAATGCGCTCTGAATCTGTGAGTTCCAAATATGTTTTTTATGAAACTGTGATTAGCATATCGGCCTTAAGTATTTTATCAATGTTTCAATGAAATATGGCAACTCTCAGCAATGTATGAGACACGTCACGTACGCAATGTGGGCGGGATGGGTGTCTTCATTTGAAATGCCAACTAAGGATTTTTCTTTAATTAAATAGTTTCATACATATATTTCACTTGCTGTATAACACTACTATCTAGAATTTTTAATAACCTTGCGCCAATGAGTGAAGGCTAATATTCGGATTCAATTACACTGATGCTTCAACTATTATTGTTTTTGCACGTTGAAATACTTTCGGTCAGATTCCGAAAGGACTTGCTTTGGTAAATATTTCAGAACCTCAGTCGGCACAGAACTCAGCATTCTTAGGCGCTCCTCCTCAATGCGCGCCTGATGCTCGGCGTCTGACTTCGCCTTCAAATTGAAAAATTGAATATTTTCCGCAGCTGCTTCGGCACGCTTGCGATTATTCTCCTCAATCATCGACAGAAGCAGAGCACCATGCTCCTTCCGCTGTTGGCGTATCAGCATTTCGTTATCGCCGCATGCGTGGATGTCGATGCTGAAAGAATCTTTGTCAACAGCTTGTTCCTTCTTCTTGCGCACTGCTTCCAAATGCCGCTCATAGGCTTCAGCACGATAGCGTTCTAGTTCTTGGCGGGCACGCTGGCGTTCGAGCTGTTCCTGCTGGAGCTGCTGTCGGTAGCGTTCATCGTCCTTCGCTTTGTACTCTGCCTGCAGCAGATCCAGCAAGACATTGTCGCGTTGCCGTTTTCTGTTCTGTAATGGAAGAGTTCAAAAGGATACTATTAAAAGGTCTCTGCTTTTCAGTACTAGATTTCAGAAGACTTACCTCCACTTCAAGCACCTGCTGACCAATACGCGAACTAATCTCCTGTTGCTTGCGTATCGCTTCAAGTCTGGCCTTCTCCATTTCCTCTCTGTGCTTAGCATCCTCCAGTTGTATCTCAAATGCTTTTAAATTATCCTCGTTGAGCTTTGCCTTTTGCAGAGCCTCATATTCTCGTTTTTCCTCTATAAACTGAATGATGTCATCTCGCTTCTTGATCTTTAGGCGCTGTAGCTCCAACTGAAGCTCTCTGTCTTCTTCTTCGATTTGCTGCTGAATGGCCATGCGGACCTCCCGCTCCGCCAGCGTCTGTACGTATTGGCTCTGACGACATTTCTGCCGCTCTTCTACTTGGGATATAAGTGTCTTGCGCAGTTCCTCCTGCTGCTCCTTTTTGCGCAACTCTTTCTCCTGCTCCATGGCCAGCTGCTGTTGCCTTTCAGCCTCGGCACGCTTTAAGCCCTGCAGTTTCACATGATTTGCGAGCTGTCGACTTCTATTTACTTCCCTCATATGCTCCTCGAGATCCTTGGTGATCGCTGCCAATCGCAGCTGCTCAGCCAACTGCCGCAACTCCTCGCAGTCATTGCGAAGCTGTTGACGGCGCTTGCGATCGACGAATTCTTGACGCTTCAGTTGCTTTAACTCATCAGTCAACAAGAGGTCGGCGTTAACTGTCTTAGGAAGTCGCCTATTTTCCATAGCTTGCACTTTTCTTATTTGATCGGCTTCGATCAAGGTCTTGCAGAAATGTTTCTCGGTTCTAAAGAGCTTGTCCTCGTCAATGGGCACAAATCTTTTGTGCGCCTTTGTGGCGAAAACCGCGGGTTGTGCATCCCTTGGATCCGCCCATATCCCACTCATCGTTGCCATGGTAGCAAAAGGACATATAAACAAATTAAATAAAATCTATAAACTACATGAAACTAGTACCAACTGAAACAATAAAAGTATATAATAAAAAGAAAAAAAAAGTAGTGTGTATATCTAGCCTAGATGTCTGTATTCATTGCTTATGATATTCTTCATTACATCGATATTTGTATATCGATAGCTCGGAAAAGGATTTTTCGAACAATCAGGTAACTACTGTAACGAGATCGAATATTGCACTGATCAACTGTTTTTAAGATATCTTAAAGGAAACTGCATTGTTTGTCAATATATAAAGATTTGTAATATATTTATATTCAGAATTAACATGAACGAGCCACTCGCAGCTGTTTTATTTAGAATAGGCAGTTGGGAAATACTTCTTATCGTGCTCTACAATATCTTCCAGTATATCATCAATGTCAGTGGTAGGATAACGCTCAACCCACGACTGAATGTAGCCCTCGTGGGTCGGCTCATAGGTCTTCAATTCCACTTTGCCTCCGTTTACAACCGTATTAGCCTGCACCAAAATAATGCGCGGCTTCTTGTGTGCCAGACATATGTCGCGCCACTTTGCCCAAGGATAAGGCCCACTTTCGTTGACCTCTGAGTAGTGTTCGTACATTTTGGAAGCGGCTTCGATATCAGCGGTGGATTTGTAAACCTGCAACTTAGTCAAAAATTCGCCCAGCGCCTTCTTGCCCACCGTTTGGATTTTAGTACGGTCCAATGTAAGCAGCAGGTTTTTCCCATTCTCAGTCTCTTTGATGTTGACAAATCCTTCGCCAGCTTCCAACAAAACTTTCATGATAACAAAACGCGCACGCGAATGCGCTTGCAGCCATAATTTTGACTTGGGATTGTACATTTCCAAGGCAACGCCCATGCCGTTCCAAATTAGGCTCAGCCAGTTTATGTAAATGATGTCGTCCTGCTCCGCAGCATCTTTGAAACCAAATATCTCCAGTATATCCCGCTGTAGAGATAAGTAGAGGCCCACTGCTTCAGCGCGGCATTCCTCGTATGATGAACCAATAGCTCCGAATTTCGTATCGTATGTTTCGCCAGGCTTGTACCAACTGGTAATGGGCTTATCAGTCACGAGGCTCTTCACTGTTTTCACGTCGAAGTTGTAGGTACCATTTTCATCAATGCGGAAGAGTTTGCCACTGCCATGTCCCAGAAGTTCATGCAATCCAACCTGCACCTCAAAGGCCTTCACTTTGTACTCCTTCATCAGCGCCTGGTCCTCGTCGGATAGAAATGGTATGGAATCTTTGCGGTTGATATTAGCCAACACATTACCCAACGAAACGTTTTTGAAGCCCTCGTCCTGACGAATTTCGTCATCTGTTATATGGTAGAAAACATATTATCAGCATTTTCGTTTCTTTTTTTTTTTTTAATTCTCTACTTACAGTTAGGTATATTGATGCCAGCGGGCACTCCGCTTCCAGCAAAGGTCAGCACATCTAGGGACGTGAAATCTGGTTTCAAATACGAATCCTTTTCATAGGCCTGTGTCCAGGGCAAATATTCTAGAAGCTTCTCGGCACGATTAACTAATTCGGCAAATTTAGCGGAGCTTTCTTTGTTGACCATGGCCACAAAGCCCTCGAATTCGGCGCGGCCGCCAGCTGGATCGCGGTAGGTTTCAATGAAACCAATGTATGTCTCAATGACGGGTCCCTTATCCTTGATCCACCATCTGGAGCCGTTTTTGTGCTCGGCTAACGAGCCCTCCTCGAAGGACTTAATATAATGCTCAATCATTTTCTCTTCATTAATGTTGGCAGCATATTTTTTCGCTTGGCGCAAATTTTCGTTAACGCGTTGCAGCAACGGTTGATAATCGCCTCGCGTAACCCGGAATTGGTTGCCCTTGAATTCCTCCAGCGCCAAGGTAATGCCTTCCTTGCTGGAGTTCGCTACTGAGCCGAGCTTAACGTCATAGAATGTTTTTCCGTTTTCTGTCACCTTGAATGTTCGACACATATATGGCTCAATGCGCTTCGATGTCAGCCAATCGTTGACTATTTCTGAATCCTCCTTGGTGCAGTTATCCGACCAGTATGTGGTTACACCACTTGGCGCAAAGCCGAGCACTTCATTGCGCGCATCCAGCGCATAAATTAGATTTTTCACCTTTTCAAATGTCTTGGTTACACGTGGCTCACTTGCATACGCAGCGGACGACCGCACAATTGCCTCAAACTTTTCCTCCGGTAAATTGGGCACGATCTTGCTATCACCCATGCCCTTGTAATTGCCTGCATTGGCGAACACTCCACAGGCGTAGACAAGGAATGCCTAGAATGATAAAATATATTAAGTGCAGATTAACAGGCGACAGATAACACTATTATAAACTTTTTACAGTTAGCTCTTAATGCATGATTATGATCGTATTCCACTCATCTTTTCCATACAGAGCTATCGTCGTAGCTGCTTATATACTTACTGTAAAATCATCTTCTGTGGCGCCTGCTTTCAGTGCTTTGATTTTCAGATCCGCGGGCTTTTCGGCAACAAAAATGCGATGCAGCAGCGAGAAGATAAGTGGAGCCTCCGGGCTGGACTGAATAACAGCGACGAGGCCGCCATCCCACGAGGCCTTGCTAAAATAATGAGCGTACAGCTTTTCCTTATCGGTTAAATTTTCAAATGCATTTTTACAATCCAAATCGGCAATGGGCTGTGTATTGGGCAGCACGAAATGTGAAGTTTTGCTGGCCATTACGCTTAATTCTGGCAGATTAATACGCGTGCTGCAACAAAGAGAGAAATCAGATATGCATTTAGATAACAGCTGACCGCCTAACCGTGGAATACCTGTAATTAATGGCTGCGTGCCCAACTGGTGTACTTGGTTTACCGGAATTTAGAATGCGCTTTGACTGTTTTTGGAAACGTCGCGCTAACGTGTAACTGCTGACTGTTCGAAAATTTAATTGGCAAAACTGTCCTAGTTGACGAAATCTATGAATTTTCTGAACTAGCAACATGACGGAGAATTTTGACTGTTACACGACTTTCAAATTTATTTTCATATTAATACCAAACAACCAATAAATTTTCTGATCCGCAACTGCAAAATGTAAAACGCTTTAATTTCCAAATTATATCAAACAATAAAAAACATAAACATAGAAATGATGAACGCGTTGAAACTGTTGTGTACATACATATAAATATACATATATGTATGAATGTATATCTTGGTATATAAGTACATACGCATGCCGCCCTCTTAATGCTATGAAACCGTTTGTTTTTAGGGCGTAGCACGAAAGCATAACAAAAAAATTAGCAGGCCCAAGTCAATAATCAAATTAAAATGTAATATTGATTGTTACATACCTTACAAGTTATAAAATTAAAGAAAAAACTCAAAATGCCGACAAAGTGCAAGTTGTCACTAGCGATGAACGATAGCTGCGATTCAACGATATTTCTGTAAGCTTTGCCAATTGGCAAATGTTATTGCAAGCAAGAGAAACGATAACATAAACTGTTACATGTTTAACAGCGATCAACAAAAAGTAATTAAAAGCGTACATTTTGAAATAAGTAAATAAATGCATTTTTAATTGCAAGTAATTTGATGTGAAGCAAAATGCGCATTATTTAATTAAGATTTTTTAGGATAAATTTTTCAGATTAAAATTTTATTTTGTATTTTATTCTAATTGGAAAATCAGTATTTTACCGTTTGCGGTCACACTATTTGACATTTTAAAAATATGTAGATCAAATATTTTTTTAAATTTAAAAATATAAACACATTTTTATCTGTATGTACAATTGTAGGCGTGGTGAGTGGACAGGATTGGCATATATGTAAAAAATAATACGCAGTTGCCAATGGATTGCCTCCCACCTTCCCACACAGCTGTATGAATCATATGTTTCTTATCACCTTCAGGTTGACCCCAGCAGAGAAAGAAAAGTTTTTCCGCAGGCGTTCGGACAATGGAGCTAACTGGCTGGGTAAAAAATTACGAATGGGGCAAAAATGGCATTCATTCAGCCGTTGCACAACTGGCAATGGCTAACGATCCGGATTTTGTCCTGAAAGATGATGAGCCCTACGCGGAAATGTGGATGGGCACCCATTTTTGCGGTGTTTCCATTGTTAAAGAGACGGGAGAAACTCTAGACCGTGCTCTGAAGATGGAACTGCCGTACCTATTCAAAGTTTTGAGCATTAAAAAAGCACTGAGTATACAAGTGCATCCCAATAAATGCGAAGCTGAGCGTCTGCACGCGGAGCGACCGGAAATCTATAAGGATAGTAACCACAAGCCGGAGATGTGCATTGCCCTGACTCCCTTTTTAGCATTGGTTGGATTTCAACCGATCGATGATATCATTGATAACATTGATGAGTTCCAACCACTGTCCAAGCTCATCGGCAAGGAGGCAGTCCACGAGTTGCACCAAAAACGAGATACGGAAAGCTTAAAGGCATGCTACGAGATCCTAATGAGATCCGACGATGCTAAGATAGCCGCGTGCCTCAAGGAGATAGCCAAAAAGTATACGAAAGGCAAGTCGGAAAAGTCAGTTAAAGTATTTCAGTTAAATTTACTTTTCTTTTTGTGCAGAGCTCGAGAGCAACGAATTGTTAAATGTATTTAACAAGATCAATGCGGACTTTCCTGGTGACGTCGGTGTGCTATCTCTATTCTTTTTAAACCTAATACACTTGAAACCTGGCCAAGGCATATACTTGGGCGCCAATGAGATTCACGCGTATCTGGAAGGCGAGTGTGTGGAGTGCATGGCCTGTTCCGATAATGTCATTCGTGCGGGACTCACGCCCAAGTACAAAGATGTCGAGCAGCTAATTTCCTCTGTGATATATGAGGGCAAGCCGGCGAGATGCAAATTGTTTATGCCATATCGAATCGATGATTTCGTAGAGGTGTTCGCGCCACCTGTTGATGACTTTGCAGTCATCCATGTTGCTATAAGCCACACTGTGGATACCTACAAACTGGAGATACAAAAATACGGCTCCATCATGTTGACATTGACCGGCAAGCGCATTGTTAACCTAACCACAAAAGACGGCCCCAAAGAGATAACTGTATCGCGTGGCAGCATTATCTACATTCCAGTCGAGGCTGCTCCCGCAATTGAGTTCCTGCATACGGAGGACTGCGGCGATGATTTTTCCGCTTACATTGCAACATATAATTATTTTCGGCTTGCTTAGAATGTAAATTTGTGGTGTGATTTTTGAAATTTGAAATAAACCAAAGACGTTACATTTTTAAATTGTTGCAATTTATAACAGCTACTATTGAAACTTAAGTGGCAATAATAATTTCTTAAAGCGGGGTTAAATCTAATCAATATAATCAAAATACATCATCGCTCAACACAAATACAATAAACATTTTCAAGTGTACAACGAATTTAAGATTACTGCAAAACAAACAATTTTGCATCGACTTAATCTAATAACTGGGTTTACAATTTGTTTGACGTATGATGTATATATATTTATATTTATAAATATTTGTGTGTGTATATATATTATAAATAGATGGGGGTACATCAATATACATATATTTATATTGTATTTTGTATAGTATTAACAAAGTGGCGTACACAAAGAATGCACATAAATTGGCTACGAATATGACACTACTCTTAAATATTTAATAATTCTCAACCAGTGGTTCGCGTTCCGTTCGTTTCCGTTGACTCCTTGAATAAATGCCTTCATCACTTCGGGCCGCACAAATTGTAAATATACTTTTGTCATAAAGTTGTCTAGTTTAATTCATCGTAAAGGTCGGAAAATGCCTCAAAAAGTTTGTACCAAAAAAATTTAAATACATTTATACGAAAATCTCATTATAAAATTTGTGTGTTTCACTTTTGGTTGCGCGTAAACGCGTGCTTATTAGTTAGACAATAGGTATACAAATAGATATACAATATATAATATTTTTGTATAGATGGGTTAGTCGCATTAGTTGATATCTTCCATATTTGCTTTACCAAGCGTATACGTATAATTAGATATTGCAGCAGCAGCAAATATGTAAATTAAAATTGTTGCTGCTGCTTCTAAATTTGTGCCCACAACATTTGCTCCTTATTGTTGCTGTTGTTGTTGTTGATCCTCTAGCTGTTGGTTGTGAATGTTTCTGTGAGTTAGTAAGTTGTACCACGTAAGTGAAGAGCGGAGTGGAGCATGAGAAGAAGCTTCTAATTAGGTTATCATATGTATATCATCAACGTTTCATGTGCTGAGAATTTCGGCGTTTAACTCTTGAGCAAATTGTTTGCGCGCTTATTAACACCATCCATGCGTATGTTGTTTGCATCGCCTTTGGCATTGATGCGATCAATTTGCTTGTTCTGGTTCTCTAGCTCTGATCCCATGTCCAAGGCCATGTTGCGCAAATTGCCGAGCATTGAGTTGACTTGTCCCAAATTCTCATCCATCTCATCTTCGCGTGCATCGTTGGTAATGCGTGCTATATACCCGGATTGGGGAGGTGCTCCCATGCCGCCACGTTCCCGCTCGTCTATGACACGCTGTGGCTGACTGGCGACAACCTTGCCATCGTCGTTGGCTTTCCATGCACTGTCGCTGTCGTCCTTAATGTTGACTTTCTTCCATGGCAATACACAGATACCACAGCATTTCTCCATGCCACTGAGATTCTTTTCGGCCTCTCGCATGTCAGCATTGATGCGATCCATGCCCTCCTCGATACGATCCAGCTGCTCACCCTGGTCATCTAGGGCGACCAGAGTGCGTATGCCAGCCTCTTTGGATTCATCCATCAAGCTGAGCATACGACGAGTACTTTCCAAAGACTCATCAGCCACTTGGGCAGACTTAAGCTGCAACTCCTGCAACTCTGTGCGTGGTTCATTTTCACCGACTGCAGCCATTACGTGATTATTAAGTACGGGTGTTTACGTCAAACTGATGACTTAGCAAGTGGTTGCGATTTTTTCTCCTTTTAGGTTCGCGAAATTTGTAAAGTGAGTCACAATCAGTGCTGACGCCACCACAATGTGTTTATAGGAATTATCGTTATATCAAGCTCGTTTCTTTATAATAGGAACTGGAACTTAAATTTCACTAATAATGATCGAAAGTTTATTTTAATTTGTACAATATTTTGGCAAGTCTTTTTATGCAAATACAAGAACCAATTGTGTATATACAAAATTTATCGACATACGTATACACGACACCGATAACCGATAAGCCAGGGCTGTTTAGTATCAAATCATAGCAATCCTCAAAGTTGTAAATTTCAACAGATCTTACAAAAACTACCAGTACAATATTATAACAGCACAACATATAATTGAAATTGAGAAAATATATAATAAAAAAAACTTTGAGCACTCACCACGAAGCTGCAATTAATTTTTACCGCCGTTCATAACTGGTTGGCGCGTTTAGTGTTGGGTAATACATTTGAAATATTAACGAATAGTTGTTGGTACAGCCAAGGCTAAGCGTCAGTGATCTTCAGCGCGATTTTTGTAATTAATTATTTAATATAAACTAAGGTTTTTTGTTCTCATCTTGTGCGTTAGTGAAACAAAAAATTAAGTGATTATTTTTTGATAGTCGTTCAGCTATGGAGAATTCGAGTCGTTCAGTTGCTTCTGGTGAAGAAAGCCTTAGTGTTTATTTGTCCTTTGACGGTGATTCCGATGACACGCTGGCCAGCAAATGGCAATCGGCAATGGCCTCGCAAACTAGTCACTATTTAGAAATGCAAAACATGGAGCAGGACCTAAAACATGACGAAACACTGGAGGAGAAGAAGAACGATATGAAATCAATACTTGACACTCTAATGAAGAACGACATTTCCAAGGATCAGGGCTCACCATTGCGCCCCTTTGACAAAAGTATTTTAAACAAACACAACGCATTGAGCTCGACGCCTACAAAAAATATGACAATGCCTGGCATGCGTCCAAATTTGACTACAGTGGATGCAGAAAAGGAAAATACTCAGCCAGATGAACAGAATTCGACATTGTCGTCCACCATAGACGGCACAGTCTCCACAGTGAAAACCAATACGATGTTCAGCGAGACAAATATGACACTTGACGAAAACTCTGTGAAGGAAAACAATAATAAGAGTAGTGTTTACCCTTTGAGCGCCAATGTTGTGCTAGAGAATATAACGGAAGGTAAATAGTAAAATGATATATGTTATTAATATGCTGCTATATATATGATTCTCTTAATCGCTCAGTTTCTGCTGAGGAGACGTCCATTACCGTGCTGTCTGCTTCTCCGATAGTTGCAGCTGATCGCCCAGCCTCAAATGAGAAGCCGTCCACAACTGTGCCACCTGCTTCTTCTGTTGAGGGCCCATCTTCATCTGCTTCTGCCTTAACTGCAGTTGATCGCCCAGCTTCAATTGAGAAGCCATCCATAACTGTATCCACTGCAGTTAATCGCCTAAAATCTAACGTGGAGCCGTTCATAGCTATGCCATCTACTGCTCCATTGGTTGCATTTGAACAGGAAATCAAAGCCAATGAAGTTTCTGTGGTCAATGACATGGTAAATGAAGTGTCCGAATTGATTGTCAAAGCTCTCAAGCTTACCGAGTGCTCAAGCAAGCCCGACAAGTCAACAAAGCTGCCAGCAGTTACTATGCCACGTCCTCGTCGCTCATTCCTGCCCACAGCTAGTGGCACCACATTCAAGCAGCGCATGTCGATTGTTGTGAAAACCACATTGAATAGTCCAGCACGCAAGCTAGCTACAGGTAATCCCATTTCTCGCCGCAGCTGCTTGCCCACGACCAAGAGTGCTCCCATAGTGAATAGTGCCTACCGCCAATCCCTGTTGCTACGTTCCTGCACTGAAAATTCCTCTAGCAATGCAATCATCCTAAGGGCAAAAAAGCCAGCTGTGGGCGTAGATACTGCTAAAGCTCCAACAACACTTCAATTTAAATGCCGATTGTGCACTGCCAGCTTCAGTGAGAAAAAGTCGCTGGATATGCACATGGATACGCACACGAAGAGTGCATTGGCCATGCGAAACAAGAACTCATATTTTTGCAAGTATTGTGACAAGAAATTCGTCCTGGAACGCGCGCTACACATTCACCTGATGGAGAACTGTGACAAAATACCGCCAGGCGAGAAGCGTAAACTCTCATTCACAGAGTTGAATCACGTTCAAAAGGCCAAGTTGCCTAAGCTAACTAGCAACTCGTCAGCTGGAAGTTGCGACAGCTCTTCCAAGCCGCGTGCTAGCATAATGCAACAGTTAGAGAAACAGCCAGTCATGGGTAAGTTTAAGCCTAGGCCGGGAAGAAAATCCTTTGTTACATTCTCTGCGCTTGTAGCCCCCAAAAGCGGTGGAGCTGCAGACCCAGCAGCCAAAGATCAAATGCAAATGGTACCACCATCGGTCAAGAAGGCTCCCAAGAGTGTGGCCCATGCTGGTGTCTATCGTACGCCCACGAAATCTGTGCCCTGCCACATCTGCAAGCAGTCATTCAAGAGCATACTCGACTACACCAACCACTGCCTGACAGTACACTCCAAGAACAAGAAGCCGGCCACAGCTAATGCACTGAGTGCTCTAAATGTAGATTAAATCAAACTCCTAAGATTAAGTTGTGTTTACTTTACTTATTATCAAATATACGATTAAATGATTAAATTGCTCGCCAATCATTTCGATTTCTTCTCAGGCGGCGGCTTCATGTCTATGCTCTCCGTTGCCACATCCAATGGGCCAATGGCATGATTCTCTGCTGAATTCGCGCCCATGCTGCCCTCGGCTCCCGAGGCCACTTGCAGCGGCTGCTGCAAATTTTGTAGCATTGGTGGTATGGGCGGTGGAAATTTACGTAATAATTCGGCCAACAACATGTCCACACGTTGCTTTTGGAAGAGAGTTCCACTGTTGTCATCCTTGGCTGCGTTCGGATCCTTTTTATCATTTTTAGACTTGTCCGACACTAAAAGCAATATATGACGGATTCAGTTTTATTTGCAAATGTAGAATATACTAGACTAGAATGTACTTACAAACTTTGTTGGACGAAAAGTCCCAATAGTAGCCCTTGTTGGGATGATAGCGCGCATAGCTGCTGGCTTCCTCGAATGCGGACTGCAGATTGACAACTGTGTTGAGCTGAAATTAGACCATCATTTTATGATTATGCATTAAAAAAAGGAAAAGCCGCTATACTTACAATACGCGCATTTATAACATTGGCCAGATCGGGCGCTTGGTATACGGTGCCCCCAATTATATAGTAGTCGGCAATTGGTGTCGCCTCTGAAGGATTGTGGCGATGCTGCTTGCGGATGACATAGAGGATAGGTTCAGCGACGTGAAGCAAAATATACTCCATGCCAAGCATATTACTGTAATTACAAGATAATTATAATAACAGAATCTTCAATTAACTGAATCAAATACCCACTGTAAGTGCTCAACTCCAAGACGTTGCATTCTTATCGTTTCGTTGTTGCACATGTGGTCGTAGAAGGGATTGCTCTTACGACAAAAGTAGTCCATAACGGTCTGGGGACTCAATGTGGCCATCATCTGGGTATCGTGCCAGGATAGACGTAAAGGGTTTTCTGCTGGCTGCGCCATTTGTCGGTTCGCCATTTCAGCGGCTGTTGCACGTGAATCCGTTTGGCCTGCGGAACGTTAATTTCATTGACGTCGGCGTCGGCCGATGACAGAACACAATTGCAGATCAATCAGTGGGTCAGTGTCAATGGCTTTCTGTTATTTGCTTGCGCGAGCGTCTTTCCTCTTTCTCAGTTTGTTTACAAATTATTTATAGACTGTACGCTGCCAATTTTATAATGTTGCACATTGTCGATATGTCTTTATTTGATTTATTTGTTGTGTAATAAATATTTCAGTGTCGCGAACAGAAAAATTCAACAGCTGCTCTTTGGCAATTATAACGGCACTAGGTCGCTGTAAGTTCACTATTAATCTGTTAATTGCAATGGATGTGTCTTATCATTTATTTGTAAGATGTCTGCTGTAAAGCGCAAGTAGTTCACTTTTTGTTATTTATATTTTGTTGTTTATTATTTCCGATGTATTTATAAATGCTCGATAATTTGTGGTGGCCAGCCGATTCACTTTGCCAGAAAGTTGGCAGTGCGCTGCATTTATCAACAAGGTGGCAACATACCATCGCTCCACACAAATATTAAACAAAATGTTTAAAAATAAAACAAAGCGTAACGGCTGCTGTTTAAATTAAAATCATATTTGAATTAAAGCATAGAGACGACAGGGCCGATACATACATATCAAACCAAAAAAATTCTCTTGTACAAAGTAAACCAAGCGTAAACTGTTGTTGCCGTCAACGCCGTCACTACCGCCACAACTACAAACACACAAACAACAAAATTATCATCAACATCAATTGTATATTAAACATTTTGCTCGGCCTGCGGAACTTGGCCCATTTTTCGGATCGTCAGAATTGGAAACTATATCAGTGCGCTTTGTACGTTTCGTCGTGGCGCTCGTGAGGAACAACAACGCAAAGAGCAAAGAGTGCTCACAATGGTAAACAGCAACAAAAAAGTCAATAATTAGGCATTTTTCAACAATTATACATATATAAAATTTAAGTATGTGTTTGTGTGTTTATGCGGTGCTTTTTTCTACGGGCATACATATGTATACATGTACAACCAATTTTATTAGAATCATTTGTTTGTATGTATGTTCATATCTATATGTACAATGGTAGTCATATGCTCAAATCTTAACCAATGTCCGAAAAGAATGTGCTTAAATATGTTATATATATTATACAGATGTTGTTTGCCGATTTAGCTAGTCAAGGTCGTGCAAGTGCCGTTAACGTTTAGAGAAACATTTTTTTATGAATCACCTTGATTTTCGCGGACAAAATTATAGGCAAACACATGCGTATGTGCTGTGTAGTAATGTGGATATGTATGCGTGTATTGTAGAGTGTAAATACATATGTGTGGGTGTTTTCCATGACTTAACACCCACATTGTAGTCGCGGTCACTAAAATGAAATAATGTATATAAATACACAAGTAAAATAGTTGATTTGTTTATAATTAGCTAAAGATTTTATTATTATATCAAAGCCTTGCTGCATTTGGATTCAAGTTCAACGCTCGGAAATGTTGCTTCCATTATGTGTTATGAAAAATGCTCTCTATATGAATGTAAATAATGAGCGAATTTTTTGTAGCCCAGGTTTCTTCATTCAAACATAATTCAAATAGAATTAACCTTAGTTAGTTATTTATTTTTGGAATTCTTCAAAATGTCTTTAGCAATAACTTAAAGGCCAATAACTGAGACGGAAACTGATTTTATAAAAAAAGTATAACAAAAAAAAAAAAATAATAATAACAATAATAATTTAATTATCATAATCCATACACTTTATGCAGCGTAGGAGGACTCCACATGTCAAAAATAATTGTTCAATGTGTACAATGTGTATATACATATGTACTTCATAGCCATTTGTTATAAATACACATATAATCTAATTGTTCACCTGTAAATAAATCAGAAGTATTTAGTGTAGTTGTACCTCGATTCGAAACGAATAGAATTTTATTTGTTCTTTTTTAGATTTTGTCACTTTTCGGTAGCCTGATGCTGGCACAACAAAAGTCGGCCCAATTAGTTTATCAGTTAAGGCGATATGCGTTATGTTAAACGGGAGCCATACTATGAGGTAGCTGGACCACTTATAGCCAAACAAAAGCAATGACGAATTATTTCTCAAACAGACACATCTATTGGCATGTTGCTAATATATTTGATTTTCTTGCAGGGGCTTCCACCATTCAATGTTTCCGGCAGTCCATTCAATGTGGTTCCAATTCACAACGCTCCCGAGCTAATGAAGGATACATGCGCGCTCATCAACTCCGAATGGCCGCGCTCCGAGACTGCACGCATGCGCTCTCTACAGGCTTCTTGTGATACGCTGCCTTGCAGCCTGGTCCTGACCACGGAGGGAATGTGCCGTGTGATAGCGCATCTGAAGCTCAGTCCGATCACATCCAAAAAGAAGGCTTGCTTTGTAGAGTCTGTTGTTGTGGACAAGTCGTACCGTGGCCAGGGCTTTGGAAAGTTAATCATGAAATTTGCCGAAGACTATTGCCGTGTGGTGCTCGACCTAAATACAATTTACCTGTCGACCATTGACCAGGATGGTTTCTACGAACGCATTGGTTACGAATATTGTGCCCCTGTTTCTATGTATGGACCGCGCCACTGCGAGCTGCCGAGCTTACAAAATCTTAACAAGAAATACATGAAGAAGGTCTTATAGACGTCAGCACCAGTAGTAGTAGTAGTATTGGCTTAACCAACCTGCGAACGCTTCCAACTTGACCGGAGCGTGTCAGTTAAACTAGTCAAATTGGGCAAACGCTTGGGCTTAGTCCCATAAATATATAGTATACATATATAGAAACTGCCAAACGGCAGAGCCGTCGAAGCCTTTAGGCGTTTGCTTCTGATTCCATTACGATTACAAAAGAAAAACGAAAACATTCATATTACGCTCGTGTTGATTTTTAAATATTACTTTCCGCATGTATTTTTTGTTACCGTTATCGAACAATGCTTTACTACACATGCACACTAAATAATTGGCGTGTTATAAAATATATTGCTCATAATATATTGATGTTAATTTAGTTATGTATTATTATTAATTTATGATTTATGTTCTTATAATTTGTTGTGGTGTTATTTGCTCGAATGCTAAATAGACATTATCTACCTACATATGATAGCTCAATTATCTTCCAAATAACTGTAGAATAGATATACATATCGAGATTGGAAACGTAGCATTAAGCGACAAATGTATGGCAATAAATTATATTAAAGTTGTAGACATTTTAAGCGCATTGTGTTTTGTGTGATTAATCGGGGAATGCACGAAAGACAAAACGGAAGCATCCATCTGCAATCTGTCGTAAGAAATCTATGACAAGTTCAAGTTCATGGTGCTGCGACAAGCCAAAATTTGATGTGTGCCCACCCGGTAATGTTATTTTTATTACAGCTGCACCCGAAATAGGCGAGGCACAGTCGGTCGCCCAACGAGAGAGCCGAAAGTTTCGTTACAATATTTCATTTACACGAAAATAAACCACAATCGTGAGCGCAAATGAGAGCAAGTGTTCCGATGTGTGGGTGCATACAGTGAACTGTCGATACCCGAAATGCTTCTGTGTGGAATTGTGGTGTAATTTAAATTTTGAATGATTCAAGAAAATTAAATTAAATTTATTCAAGTATGAACATCTCCCAATTTTAAACAAGCAATTTGACATAATATGAAACAAATTCAATTTATCAGTAGAGACCTGTACTTGGACGCATTTAAATAGTTTTCTCTCATATGATTCTCGTGCATTTGCTTAATGAATATTGGCATTGGGCCTGAAAGCGGAAACAGCAAGCAGCTTAATCTGTAGCCTCATATAGTTCTTGTTAGCTCGTGTAAGATTTCTACAGGTGCACATTTTCGAAATACCTGCATGACGGGCTATGCGACAGCTGCTAATGGCTTGAAATTTCAGGTGTCTGACCGAACATGCGCCGGATTGCCAATTGATATCGCACGAAATTGCAATTTAAATTTATTTATTTCTTAAAATGGAAAGTTTACAGTGCGCATACATAATATACACACACGCACATCCATACATTTAGATAAGTATGAATATATCAAATATTATTTATTGTTAGTTTGCCTTTGTAAGGCTTTAATAGCATTGCTAATTGTACGTTAATAAAGAACCAACTGCAGATTGATTCCCATTTATATGCGTAGGGGATACCATATTGCTGATGTCATGCCGATCGCCCATTTGAGCTTATTATTTAAGCGCTCTTAGCGCTTTTGGCGATGCCGCAAACTTTGCCATAATGTTCAGGTTGATCCAAGGAATCTACAATGAATTTGGCCAAGTCCTCTTTGGATACCAAGCGTCCGGGTGCTTCATCGTGCACCACAGTATAGCTACTGGCTGGCTCATCGGCGATGTGTGGTGGCAATATAGCCACATAGTCCAAGCCGGATGCTTTTGTCAGGTCCAACATGCGCTGGTGCTCCTCATTTAGTTTGTGGAATACAGCAGGTACCTCGGTTAGAGGACGCAAAAGGAAAGACGACATCACAATGGAAAACTTCCTGAGATTTGCGTCCTTCATGGCCTTTATGACGTTCTCGGTGCCGCGAGATAGCTCCGTTGTGGCCTCCAGTTTGTTGCGTGTGCCCAGTATAACGCAAACGCCGTCCACTACGCCATCGCCCTCAATCAGACGCTTAACGTCCTCAATATTAGTTACATCGCCCTGAACTAATTGAACTTTGCCTTTGAAACGCTCCGGCACGGTGGGCTCTGTGCGGTAAAGTAAACGCACTTTCAGACCTGGAAAAAAAATTCGGTTCATTCACTTGAGCTGAATTCCAAAGGTTGTACACTGTACATTACCCTTTTCTAATGCATAATCCACTACGCATTGACCGGTCATGCCGGTGCCACCAATTACTGCAATCCGTTGCATAATGGTTCTGTATATTGGAGCTCAATGAAAACCACAGGCTATACCGTGAACACTTTTCAGTGGTTGAATCAAGAAATTGCAGTATCACAATAGTCAATTCCCGACTTATCGCACACCAATTACAATCAAAAGTGATTGCCGTTTTGCGCTGCTCACCTGAGTTGTCCAGCTGATTATGCCTTACATACACACACACCGATGCACGCGCTTTTAATGTGCAGTGCTCGTAAGCGCCGTCAGCTTTATAAAAAGATAAAAAGTAATCAGCAAGATATGTTATCTACTCCACAAATACTTTTATTTACAAAAATTCACTGCAAAATGTAAATTGTCATGAAGACATTTCAAATTCTATAGGGTTATCTAGGTGTCCGAAAAGCAACTTTAAGTATTAAAAAAGTTTTAATTAATATAAAATCACTGCGCAATTAGCGAAAATATCGATAATGCTTCGTAAATAGATAGTGACATAAGAAAGATAATGCTAATTGTTAAAATGTACAATATTTAAAATTAGTAACTTTAAAATTACGTTGTTAGTGTGGCCAGACTTTAAAAAATCTGAATTAATTTCACTGAGGTGGTCGGTCAGCTTGCCCACCGAGTCAAGCGTTGCCCCATTAATTTCAAAAGTTACGCGCGTAGTTTTTACGCTTGCGATTCTTCCGTATTCGCCGCTGAATAAGGATTATCCGCAGGGTTTTTCACACGTCTCAGAGTAATTCCCAATTTGAGTTCACTCAAGAAGTCGGTGGTAGCTGGCTTCTTTTCAGCACGCGGCTTAACGCCACTTATTGTCGCTGCTTTCTGATTGACTTTCTGTAAAATTGAATTCATTGTGAAATTTGTAAAAAAAATCAGTGAAGTGGATAATGACGCACCTTTAGTGATACGCCTTGTCGTATACTTTCTAAGAAAGCATCGCGATCACCAGCCGGGGCTGCAGCCGCCTTTTTAATGGGCAACGGCTGGGCGGATCCAGGCGCTGGCGGCGGTGGTGGTGGCATTGGGGCACCCGCTCCAAATGATGGTGGAGGAGGTGGTGGTGGCGGTGCTCCTGATGCTGGGGGTTGTGGTGCTCCTGATGCAGGGGGTGGCGGTGGCGGTGGTGGTGCATTTGCTTTTATTGAATTTTTTGGCTTTTGGAGCACCTGCACAGGAGGCAATCGGGCTTGCACTGGAGCTTCCTTAATAGGCGGTGGAGTTTGCTGTTTAACCGGTGCGTAGTCCACTGGGGCTCTGTTCCAACTGGGCTGCACAGGTGTGGCCTTAATAGGGGCTGGAGGCGGCTGCCTAGACTGTGAAAACTCCACTGGAGTGCTGTTCCCACTAGGCACAATCGTTGGTTTTGGCGGCGCCGGGGGAGCCACTCGTATTGTGCCCACCTTGCGTTGCGTTTGAGGCGCAATCGTGGCATACGTTTCGTTCTGTGGCTTGAGTTTTGGTGTGGAACGGACTTCTGTAGCTGATGGATAGACGTGAGTATTGGCCGCAGTCACTGCCGAGGGCGGAGGCGGTATTTTGGGTCTGATCGGCTGCGGTGACTGCAACTGAACTGGTACAACTGTACCCACATCCTGCTGCCTGTTGTGGCTGGGCTGCGCTGAAGCCAGGTCTATATCAGATATGTCCCTAAATCGAGACGTAAGTGTCGCATAATTGGAATAGGTAGCGGGCGAAGGAGCCTGCCTAACCGTTGCTGGTGCAGGTGGCACTGGCGGTGGAGCTGGACGTGGTGCAATCTCATTATCTGTGGATATTGTGGCATAGAGAAGCTTTGGCATCTTTTTCTCCTGCTCTTGCGTTTGTTGCTGCTTGTTAGGCTGTAATAAGGAGTTAGATTGGCATTTGTATAATAGGTAAATATAATTTGAGTGGTGTCCATACCATCCATGTGAAATTAGAGTGCACAATATTTTTAATCAGGTCCTGCCGCCGAATGCCGGCCACATCCTCCTCGGTAATGCCGCGCTCCATCATGTACTTCTTCAGCACGTTGTCATTGGCGCCTGCATTCAAATCGAAGGCATTTCGAGTGCGATCGCGAGTAACATCTCCGGAGACATGCTGGAAGCCGACAGGCCCGCTTATCTCATACTTTGAGCCCTTGTTGCTGACCACGACGCTGGTGGCAAAGCTGGGGCCTGGAACGGCACCTGAGGCGCCCGTGAAGCTGCCCAAGCTATTGGACGAGGATGATTTGCTCATGCTGAGGCTGACACCGTCTCCAAACAAGCGGCGTTCGCTGCCTGGCGATGCTCTGATTGCGGGCGGTGGTAGAACAGCTGGCGGAGGGTGGTCGAAGACGTTGCTGCTCACCTGCATGCAGGGCGGCTATAAGAAGAAGAGAAAACGAGCTACTATTTAACAATGATAATGATAATGATGATGATAATGATAATTATAATGATCATGAGGATGAGGATGACTCGCATTATGATTTCCACTGCCGTCTCTTTTCCATTGGCAATTACCACCCAGTAACCGGGGCCTTTATGGCTTCGAACTATGTCATAGACATAGGCGCGCCGCTGCATTGCCGGCATCTGCTCAACCTGGTCGGATAGGTGGGCCTTGCGCAGATACAACTGTAGCATCTCATCGGTACCGAGACCTCGCACATCGAACGTCTTGCGAAAATCGATGGCTTCGCCCTCCAGCTGCCTAAACTCCACCGGCTCGGAGATGTAGGCGTACATCGCCGTATCCACATCCATGCTTTTAGCACCCTGAACAGCCTGAAAAGCGATACGTGTACGGGCACTGCATTAGTGGCGCTGCTATTAAAGAGCTACGATTGCCAACCGCTGGGCTAGGCCAGGCACCCATACGTATCCGTATCCACGGTGGCGCATTATCTTCTAGCAATTCGCCGATAAGAAATGTTCACGCAGCTCGTTTAATTTTAGTTTTTTTATTGTTATCAAATTACGGATTTCTGTCGTTGAATTTGCTGGTGAATCATAGAGCCAAAGACTCAGGCAAAGACAACGACAAAGACACGCATCCAAGGCAGCCCACTAAAACGGGCTCCATCTCTGCTCTATATGCACATTACATTTAATTTCACATTCATTTACCGTAATGGAATCTTGTAAGACAGGGCGGACCCTTGGCGTATAGAAGTGAGTTCCGTAGGTGTTTACCGTGCCGTTCAGCCCAAACTAAGGTATCGCACTGATTAGCGGAGGTGGTATGTCATCGCATTTACTCATTTACTCATTTTGCGAAGCTTGTTATCTGGAAAGGCAGGCACTGATAACTGCCACCCAGTAATCACCTTTACCTGGAGCGCTGTTTGGCATCGACAGCTTGAGCCTAAAAGAAAACATAAACAATGAATATTTATATACATACATATGTATAAATATGCATGTATAGAACATATATGTATATATGTACATTTCTATCAATTTATATTAGTATTTTAGATATCTGGAATTAGATAAGTTTGCGTAGTATATCATTTAGTATAGTATGGGGTCTGTCTATAAAATGACTAACTGCGCACGGTTGTTCAGTATTCGTTGTACATTGATATTCTGAAACAAAAGAGTAAACTGAAATTGTTTTATTGCCATATATGTATGTATGTATGTATACCGAACAAGCCATGGCTAAAGCCAGGTAAAGTAGTAAAAACCTAAAATCATAAAGAATGATATATGTAATGTAATAAAGCATAAAATATAAATAAAAAATATTTTATGAAAATAAACACATAATAAAAATAGTTTATTAATATTAAAAGGCTTTGGCTAAGCTATTCTTTATATTTAATTTATTTATATATATAGAGCTATGGGAAGATATTCCGAAAATTATAATAAGAACAAATTATATATACGTATATATGTA